CTACCCATTCAAATCGGGAAGTAGTTTCAAGTTGGAGTTTTAAAATAATTTTAAAATAAAAAATAAAATAAAATAAAATAATGAATTATTAATTCAAATTTGGGAGTAGTTTCAAATTGGAGTTTTAAAATTATTTTAAAATAAAAAAACAAAAAATCTATTTATATATATAATATATAATATAATATAATATAATATAATATAATATATGTATAATATATAATATATAATATATATAATAGGAGAGTCAAAGAAATCTATATCTATCTATCTATCTATCTATCTATATATATATATATATAATAGGAGAGGCAAAGAAATGTTATAATGACAAGTATCATAATTTCTATTAACAATATAATTATACTAAATATTGGATAATATAATAAATAAAAATACATAACAAAAAAATTATTGATGACTATATAAGTCCCTTTAATTTAATAGAGATTTTATTTATTAAAATTTAGACAATATCTATTCTATTTATATAGAATAGGAGAATCAAATAATTGTGATAATTCCAAATGTAACATCGAAAAATTAACAAAGTGACAAATATTTTTTTAATATTGACCGCGCATCGCGCGGGTACGATTACTAGTCAAGTATTAATAATTGAGTTTTAAATGTAGTATTTGTACTTGTTTGAGAAAAAATCCGGCCGTGCATATACTTATAGTCCGTTTGGCCAAACTGCAAAAATCAGCTTATTTTGAGAAGTGCTTTTTTTCAAAAGTGCTTTGCTCAAAAGTACTTTTGGTGAGAAGCAGTTTGTGTTTGACTAATTATAGTTTGAAAAGCACTTCTGAGCAGCAATTAGTGTTTGGCCAAGTTTTAAAAGCTGCTTATAAGTGTATTTTTCTCAAAAGTGCTTCTCAAAAAAGTGCTTTTGGAGAGAAGCTACTTTTTTCTGCTTCTCCAAAACTGCTTCTACTTCTCCTCAAAAGTACTTGTTTTCCTTCCAAAAGTTTGGCCAAAGAGCTCAATTTTTGGCCAAAAGTGCTTTTGGCCCAAAAAATAAAAAAGCTAAAAAAAAGCTGGGCCAAACAGGCTATTACAGTGCTTATCAAAAGCCCTCCGGACCCGGCGAGATTCCGGTAAGGATTTCGGGTGAGGATCTCCTGGACTGATTGACAAATCCATGACAGCCAAAAAAAAGGAAAAAAAAAAAACAATTTTGGGGCGAATAAGAGCAGTGGCTGCCAAGAGCTATTGAAGACGAGAAAGCTAGGCTTGCCAATGAGCGCCATTATTTCAGTAAGTTTCATCTGTAACTATTTTGTCTATGTATGATTTCCTTTGTTTATTTGAAAAATAAGGGCGAATATGATTTAAAATGAATCTGCTGCACAATTACTTACCTTGATTGCTGCAATGGTACTAGTAGTATCATACTACTCATATAGACTTAGCAAGTAGACATAGGTACTGAAAATATATAATTTCACAGCCAAAATTATATTTTTGTATCGCACTTTATCTTTCAATAGACGATTGAATCAATTTTAGTTTAATAATTGGCCTAAGTTATCACCATAGTCATTCTAGGTTGGTTTTTTCTTTTAATTTATCTTGCTAACTAAATCAAAGTAGTTGAATATTACAACAACCACGTTTGTCCTATTGAAAATACACACATTTGTCAAAGAACAGAAGAGCTAAATAGATTGATGTGCTGTCATATGTGATAATATTTGGCTGATCTGTTAGTAATATGTATAGAATCTTTTTCTGAAAGCGGAACAACCACTACAAGTCTAGATAGATTTTGGATATGAACGCACCCCTTAGCCAAGCTTGAACTTCATTTATTTTCTTTGATATATACAGAAGTTAAAAATATATCGAATACTTCTAATGACAAGAATGAATAGAAGTGTTTGCCAAGATGTTAAAATTACATCGGCAATATAATGAGATTCTATACCTTGGTTGAATTTATTTCTTAGCGATCTTTTTGAGCTCATTCTGTTGCATGACTTTCAAGGCATCAACACCTTTACCCACTGTAACGACAGAACCTATCCATCAAGATGATTCTACAGTTAGAGTGGGTGAAGTTTGTAACTTTACTATTACTGTAGATAAAGTTTTGTGACTTTATTATAATAGTGGGCAAAGTTCAATTACTTTAGGTGGAAAAAAATAGCTTAGTGACTTTACTGCTATGTGGTGGGTAAATATTAGTTAACTTTAGTGTGGAAAAAATTAATTTTGTGACTTTACATTATATGGATAACATTTATTGGCCGCATATGAAATTAACCAATTTTATTCTATAACAACAAACAACAATAAACCCAGTGTAATCCCCCACAAGTGGGGTCTGGGGAGGGTGATAGATATGCAGACCTTACCCCTACCTTTAAGAAGGCAGAGAGGCTGTTTGATTTTATTGTATAGGAATCTTAATTTTTAACTTATTCCATTCAAATGCATGAATTTCAATGCATTAATAGAATTACGACTTAACATATAAGTTCATGTAATATAAGATAATATTCACATCACTAGTGATGAGACAGCTCTAAAGACTTATTTTAACCAATACCTTGATATAGGCCTAGGTAGCCATTCTGTCTCCTTTATAAGATCAATGAAGACATACCCACATATATTAAGTCCTGTATACATGTTTGATGGGAGAGTTTGGAACCAAAACGGATACATATTAATGTCAAGCTAAGAGCTTTTCCTATTGAATGATTTCATACTAAATTTGTATGAAGATCTCAGGAGTGCAGATGGAATACCATTTATCATATTTGACGTACACATATCCAGATTGCGGGAGATCAGTATGGCAATGGAATAAATCTTTATGCGCGGAACCTGACAAATGGGGTTGGAATTCGCTGCACTATGCTGTTAAACTAGGATTGAAAGAAGTAGTTTCTGATATGCTGGGGTGGAAGAAACGTTAGCCTACATTTCAGCAGGCAGTGAAAATCACTGGATGACGACAATTCACATTGCAGTCGGTGAAGGTGATATAAGCATGATAAATGAGCTACCAAACCACCGCCCAGATTGCTGGGAAATGTTTAACAGCGGTGGCCAAAATGCTCTTCATGTTGCCATATTGAACAATCAAGAAAAGTAGCCGAATCCTTTTTAAAGTATAAAAAGTGGGATAGCCTTGTTGATGAGTCAGATGATGATGGCTATACTCTTCTCCATTTGCTTGCTGCCTCTAATTGGCGCCGTGTGCCTGTAAAATTAAGAGTTCATCCCAGATCGAAGAGGATGTCATTTAACAAAGAAAACCAGACTCCACTGGACGTAGCATCGTCTGGCACAAAGACAATGACAAACAAGAAAAGAATCAAATACAGCTTGGGACGCGATCTTATTGATATTGGCGGGTGGGGAGGATGTCACTTCCTGAAGAAGACACCGCATCCAGAGGATGGAATGGATCAACAGAGGGAGAATTTGGAAGCTAGGGAATGTGAAATAAGTATCAATGCCGTAATGCAGTCAGCTCAAATACATCTAGTTGTGGCCACTCTGCTAGTTACAGTCACCTTTGCAGCTGGTTTTGCATTGCCAGGAGGTTTTGACAGTGATCCTGGCCCTAATAAAGGGATGGCAATTCTAATAAGGAAAACATTGTTCTGTGCATTTGTTGTTACGGTCCTTACGGATGTCATTGCCTTTGCATGCTCCGCTAGTGCTGTATTCAGCTACTTCAACAATAACAACAACAACAACGACCCAGTAAAATCTCACAAGTGGGGTTTGGGGAGGGTAAATATTCAGCTACTTCATCGTGGCAACAAAATTTTGACCACCGTCCCAGCAGGATTTGGCAGTTTTGTTGTACCTTAATAGTATCGCAACTTGTTTGCCGCTTCAGGCAATGGTAGGAGTTCTAATTGCATTTGTAACTGGTGTTTGTGCTACTTTAGCACATTCAGTTGGTCTCGCCATTACTGTCTGTGCCATCAGTTGCATCTCTTTCCTTTTGTGCTACAGGGTTGTGCATCTCATTATGAAACTGCAAAGGAACATATAAGAACATGAGTAGGTAGACATGAATGCATCTCTTTCCTTATGTACACTGCATTAATTTCCGCTCATGTTGACATCATGATGCAGTGATGGATCCGGGATGTCCCCGTGCCGGTTCACTTTACACTGCTCATGAAAAGTCCCTCTGGCAAGATTTCAGTAAGGCATTTCCGGCGGGAAATTCCATGGCTGACTGACAAACCCTAGACAGCCGTAGAAAAAAACTAATTCTTTTGAAGAAACAAGAAAAGAAGATCCTGAAAACAATAGAGAAGATGAAAAGATGTTAAAGTGCAATAATGGTGGGAGCCCTTTCCGGAGCATTTTGTTGGGTATCCTTCTATTCCCCCTCTTAATTCCTTGTCTATTCTTGAATTTCTAAATAAAGTTGTTGGAATTTGCTGCTGATGTTTCATATTTTGATTTTGTAGATTTGTGAGGAAGCATATGTTGGGTATGGGGAATAGGAGCAATGTCCGCTAAATGGTGAAATGGGGGGTCTCGAAGAGTTTAAAGGCCTCCACAAGTTACTCGAAAAAGCAAAAGGCTCGCCAATGAGTGCCGCTATATATTTTGGTAAGCTTTAGCTGTAGCTAATTTGGGTTTTGTAAGCTCTTGTTTCATAAACACTTGACGTCCACATTGATATTCTTTCAAATTTAACTAATATAAGGTTTCATGAAAGGAAATTAAGAGCAAAACCAAACAACAAATCCCTTTCTTCAGGATTCATCAAGAATCTAATTAATTTCCTATATAATGTTTCATCCAGAGAAAGCAAAGTACTAACAAGATGATACTTTGAGAGATTTTGAACAAATCCCCAAATAAAGAAAAAGGATCCAACCTTGTACGATGCTGCATTGGAAAGCATTGCCGGAGATGGCGGTTTTCTACGTGTAGATCATCTGAAAAGGGATGGATTAGAAAATGGATACCAAGTCACTCCGAAGGGAAACATGGCCCTTTACGTTGCAGCCCTCTATGGCCAATCGGGTTTCGTGAGAGAAGTCCTTAATATTGCTCCAGCATTGTTATGCCGTCAGAACAAGAAAAAAAAACTGCACTTCACATAGTTTCTTTTTTCTTGTTCTGACGGCATAACAATGCCGGAGAGGGGAATAAGAAGACACGATCATGAGGATGATGACTGATGTAGATACAACCCTGCACAAGGCCGTGAGGAGTGGACATGTTGATGTTGTCAAGGTCTTGGTGAAAGAAGATCATGAATTCGAATTTCCAGGGAAACACCATCTTATCTGGCGGATGATTCTGATTTTATTATTCTGCATATAGTCTGGGAAATCTGCAAGAAACCAACTTATGAAGACCTTGACGTGCGGGTACGTAATTGTTGTTACTCACTGTATTAACATCTAATATTAGTAGTTAATTATTTGACGTGCCATAATATAGTATCGTCTACTTTAACTAATAGACTCTACGTTCATCTAAATACATGACTTGACCCACTTCTTTAATTTGAGCATTGCCTTGATCACTGGTCCTGATACATGTGAGCTTCACTTATTTCTTTTTGATGCAGTCTCAAATACAATAGAATCTTATCAATGTGCTTTGCCTTTTCTCTTTTTGAACTTGTAAACAGTAAAAAGCAAGAGACCATCACCATAAGTTGCTTCTTAAACACCAAAGTGAATATCATGTCTCTCAAAGAAAAGGCAAAGCCAGTTGTACCTTTTTGATTAACTGGACAGGAAGAGAAATAATTTAAGCAATTTAGCTTTAAATTCTCCTACTTCCAGTAATATAATTTTAATTTAACAAATCAGTAAATATGATATTATCAATATGTATTAATTAAATTAAGATGTGTGTGGTTTTATGATTTTAAAACAAATCAGACCAATTGTGTAGCATGCATAAAAAGAATTTGAGGGAGGTTTGTGCTGAATACTTAAATTCAACAATTAAACGCACAAAAGGGTAGTTCTGGAACAGAATATAAATTTTATCAATGAACCAGCTTTTTTACTGAAAAGCAATAATAATAAGGGAGGAGGAATGTAGTATCTAAGATCATAGAAGTTAGTGTAACAAAGATACATTTGGAGGGAGGTCTTTGAAATTATCCCTACATTTTTTTATTTGTTCTAACTTAACTTTCTTTTTCTCTTTTTCAAAAGATATTTTGGAAAAATAGAAATTAATAAGGATATGGGATGTTAGTAAAACTTGATTTTTCAGATTTATCTGGACTTCATGAAAATATTTTCCTTGTTCTATTATTTTCTTATTTAATTACTCAGTCTTGTCCGTGTTGAAAAAAGAGAATCATGAGACAAAGTAAATTTTAAGACATAAGTAATATTTTGGTTTTAGGGGATTTAGTAGTAAAAACCCCGTTTTTATTCATGGTGATACTCTTTTAACTTTTGACTAATAATTAAAAGGCAAAAGAAGAAACAGCAAAGATAAACGACAAATTCCTTTCTTCTGATCAAGGCAAACAACAAATCCCTTTCTTTTGATCAAAGGCAAAGATCAGTGGTGTTCAGAATATTTCTATATAATGTTTCATCCAGAGAAAGCAAAGGACTGACAACATAATTCAGGAGATTTTGGATAAATTCGCTAATAATTAAAGAAAAAAAAATGGATCCAACCTTGTATAATGCTGCGGTAGAAGGCAATACCAGAGATGGCAAATTTGTACTTGCTGATCATCTGAAAAGGGATGAAGAAAATGGGTACCAAGTCACTCCAAGGGGCAACACTGTCCTCCACGTGGCAGCCCTCTATGGCCACTCCCATTTCGTGGGAGAAGTCCTTAAGATTACTCCGGCATTGTTATGTCATCAGAACAAGAAAAATGAGACTGCACTTCACATAGCAGCTAATGAAGGGCACAGTGAAGTAGTCCGTATGCTACTTAGTATAGCTGGAGAGGAGAATAAGGAGATACTCATGAGGATGACAGATGACAATGGAGATACAGCCCTGCACAAGGCCGTGCGTAGCCGACATCAAGATGTAGCCAGACTTTTGGTTAAAGAAGATCCCGAATTCGAATATCCGTCCAACAAGGCCCGGGAGACACCACTGTACCTGGCGGCGGAGTCTGGTCTTCGTGATGCTTTGGTTGAAATCTTGGTAACCTGCAACAAACCAACTTTTGCAGCAGGTCCATTTAATCGAACACCTCTGCATGCAGCAGTAATTCATCAACACACGGGTATGTACGTATTTTTTGTTACTCTCCGTCATTACCATCTAGCTTTAGTTTGATTTTTCCATACCGTTGTCTACATTAACTTGGAGTATATAATCATTTCAGATATTCTCAGTAGTAAAAAATTAATATTCACATCACTCATTTTGTGAGACAACTCTAAAGACTTATTTCTAGTTAACCAATAACTTTTGATATATAGGTAGCCATATCAAAATCCATACGTGTTTGATTGGTTGTGGAGAAATCACAAATCGTCTTGGTAACAATAATAATTTTCTCCTAATTAATTAGTTTCCCTTTAAATGATTAACTCAAAAGTCAAATTTTAACTTTGATGGCTCTTCATACCACTCTTGAACCCTTGACCTAGTGGAAGACTTAGAAATCAATAAGTATTCAATCAATAACCACCAAATCCAAGCTCTAGGATTGTGCGAGAAGTATGAAAGAGGAAGCAAAAGAATAAATAATTTAAAGCTAAGCGCTTTTGAATGATCTCATAATTTGTGGTGAACTAACTCTTCATCATCATCATTATCATCATATTTGACACGTCCAGATTGCGCGAGATTACTATGGCAATGGAATAAATCTTTATGTGAGGAAGCTGATGTAAGTGGTTGGAATTCGCTGCACTATGCTGTTACTCTAGGAGTGAAAGAAGTAGTTTCTGATATGCTGGGGTGGAAGAAATCCTTAGCCTACCTTCCAGCAGGCAGTGAAAATCGCTGGACGACAACGTTTCACATTGCAGCCAGTGCAGGTGATGAAAACATGATAAATGAGTTGTTAAAGTACTGCCCTGATTGCTGGGAAATGCTTGACAGCAGAGACAAAAATGCTCTTCATGTTGCCATATTGAACAATCAATATATGTTAGTTAATTCCTTATTAAAGTCCACGAAGTGGGATAGCCTTGCTGACAATGCAGATGATGATGGCAACACTCCTCTCCATTTGCTTGCCTCCTCTAGTTATTGGGCCCATGTGCCTGTGAAATTAAGAGAAAACCGCAGAGCAAAGAAGATGTCATTTAACAAAGAAAATCAGACTCCACTTGACGTAGCATGGTCTTGCACAAAGAGGACGACAAACAAGGAAACTATCAGTGGCAGCTTGTATCACGATTTTGCTAACATTGGTCGATTCGGACGACGTGAGACTCCGTGGAATACTTTGGATGAAATTCATATACAGAGGGAGTTTTCGAAGCGTGATAAGGAATTTGAAACAGAAATCAAAGGCATCATGTCGGCAGCTCAAATACATCTAGTTATGGCCACTCTATTAGTTACAGTCACCTTTGCCGCTGGTTTCACATTGCCAGGAGGTTTTGACAGCGATTCCGATAGCCCTAATAAAGGGATGGCGATTCTAACAAGAAAAGCAGCATTCCGTGTATTTGTTATTACGGATGCCATCGCCTTTGCATGCTCGGCTGGTGCTATATTCAGCTACTTCCTCATGGCAATAAATCATCGACCAACGTCCTATCAGGATTACAGAATTCTATCGGCTCTCAGTAGAGTCGCAGGTCAGTTGCAGCTTCTGGCAATGTTAGCAGTGGTAATTGCATTTGTAACTGGTATGTATGCTACTTTAGCACATTCAGTGGGTCTTGCCATTACTGTATGTACCATCGGTTGCCTCTCTTTTCTTTTGTACATGTTTGTAATGTATATTGTTGGAAGAGAACTTTTTTGAGAAATAAATGCATCTTTTTCCTTACTTCAGTGAAATTAATTCAAGCAGTATGGCCGATTAATAGTACTGCAGTCTGCATGCATCGTATCAGTATTTGTTTAACAGATTGTTCAGTTCAGCATCTCTCTTTTTGCTTTAGCTTGCCTTCTCGCATACCATATGTATATAGATGCATTCGTAACGATGATGTGCTAGTTTTGTAGTTTAAAAAAAAAACTGTCAAATTTATTCAAAATAATTACGAATTCTTTAATATTGTATAGTATTATATGTTATCTTGGTTTTTATTTTCATTTATATATTAAAGTAATAAGACGCCTTACTTTAAAAAGTAGCTTAATTACTTTAGAAGTTACGTGCTTATATGCACGTGAGCTATTAGTTTCTAATTAACTTCTAGTCTGAGCCAGGGGGTTCAAAACCGAACCAAAACCGAAAATCGAACCGAAATCGAAGTTTAATGGCTTATCGGTTTGGGGGCGGATAATTCAATTTTCTTAACGGATAATCCGTTAACCCGTTAAGAATACATACATATATACATACATATACATATATACATATATACATACATATACATATATACATATATACATACATATACATATATACATATATACATACATATATATATATATATATACATACATATATATATATATATATATATATATATATATATATATATATATATATATATATATTAAATATCAAAAACCCTTCCACTTCAGTCCTCCACTCTTCCAGTACTCTATCTCTAAGTTCTAATGCCTAATTCCTAAATAATTAGAATTATGAAAAATATGTAACATAATCCTTGTTAATTACTTTACAAAAGACAGAAGTTCATATATAACGAAATTACTAAATTTGTATTTTACTAAGTAGTTACCGAATGAAGCACTAGTGCCTCCCGCAAGTGGACACCCCTACTCTGCCAAAGAGTTTATTGCGTAAAGTTCAATGTCAAATTTATGGTAAATGACAAAGTGAAAACTGACATGGAAAGTCATATAGGTACAATATTCATATCAGTAACTGCTTAATTTGTAAATTTATATCCATCTAAAAGAAGCAGAACTAAGTTGAGACATAGTGGTATAAAACGAAAATTCAACATATGAAGTGCATGGAAAGGCTTCTGCTTAAGTGCTATAACAACAGAATATATTCTTAAAAGTCATATATAAAAGTGCTTCGTATGTAGATTGAATTAGGCCGATAAACCGCCCAATAACCGCCCGATAAGAGCTAAACCGATACCAATCCGCCCGATATCTTATCGGATGGCTAGCGGATCAATACATTTAAAAGCCAATAACCGATAAGCCAAACCGTTAAGAGTAAATAGCCGCCCAATCCGCCCGATAAGCATCCCTAGTCTGAGAGGAGAAAGTTGTCATTTTCCAGAAACAATATTTGGTAGTTCGGTTTACATGTTATGTTAGTTATGTGCGAAAAATGTAACGTAGGAAATATTTATGGGGTGAATGGTAATGAATGAATTATTGTGCGGTAATTAACAATATGACTCATCATGTATTATATATATTTATTTTTCTTAGAAAACTAAGACTTAGCTGTAATTATTTCAATATTACTAAGAGGACAAATTTGAACAATTTTTAAGTTATAAAGATGATATTTTTATTTCGAACTAATTAACTAACAACTAACTATAAAGCAGTAAACATTATCAAGTAAAGGTGATGAAGTTCGAGACAAGATTAAAGAGGCTTAGGGTAACAATTTTCTAATTGTCAGAATCTTTTCCACTACATCTCCCATAGTTTGGCCTAAGCGTTCTCTACTAATTGTAAGCACTCAACTTACCGCAATTCTCTTTCAAGCGATCACGATAATTTACGAGACGTATTCTTTCGGATAGGGGCGGATGCAAGCTTAACAAAGCAGTGTCACACGATACCACTTCATCGAATTTTTTACTAAATATATATATTAATACTGTTAGTGGAAATGGACAAGTAAAAAAAATGACACCACTAGGGGTCGGCGTTCGGGCAGTTCAGATTGGATATGAAAATGTCGGTTTGGATTTTCGATTTTCGGATTGAAGAAATGACAATCCAAATCCAATCCAAATATGCTCGAATTGGATCGAATTTTTTTAAGTTCGGTTTCGGATTAATCGGTTTGGATATTTTGGATTATCGATTTTGAGCTTATAAGTGGAGATATTTCTTGCTTTTACAAAAATGAATATCCAAATGAAGTATGTTAAATTGCATGAAAAGTTCCTCATTCTCAGCGCAATCATCCAAATAAAGTATTCGAGTAATAAAATTATTATTAAGGAAATACAACAAAGACATTAATACGGTTGATAAGAAGTAACAACAGTAAAATCACGCCCAAACAGAAAATCTTCTAACAGTAATTTAGTAATTAATATTGAATGCATGAGATAATATCTAATGGATAGGGTATCGAACGTATTACTACTGGCATATGGATAATGGACTATATATAAAGTACAAAAATTTCGGATTTTTGGAAGTACAAAATCCAATATCCAATCCGAAATCTAAAATTTTTAAAAATTAAATAAAAAATGCAATCCGTAATCCAAAAATCCAAAGCAAAAATCCAAAAAAGTCGGATTTCGGTTCGGATTTCCGGTTTGCCCAAACAATGCCCACCCCTACACTTGACATTAATTCTCTCTTGGTGCATCAGTTATTGTTTGGCTCAAAAGTTATTGATATACTTTGCAAGCTTAAGAACAATCAAAAGTAGGAAAGAGTAAATCGTAATCAAATATAATAGACCTAGATATGAAAAATGAAGTTGTTGTTGTAGATCTAATAGTGATAATATGAACTCAAGAGGAAGTATTCGTTAGAGATAGCAATAGAGAGTATGAGAAAATGAGAGAGTTGTATTATCTCAGAGTCCTCCCCTTTACAATGTGAAGGTCTCCCTTATATAATAGGAGACCTTCCTCGAAATAATAAAAAATTACAAAAATAGGCAACGTTTTCCTAGTGAAGATACTGAGTCCTAAACGATGTCGCTTTTGTCCCCACGTCCGAGTCGTACCCTTATGTTAGTTGGCGTATACTCACTGGGCGTACCCATTGGCGTAGAGACGCCGACGGTCAAATTTGACCCTATACAGTTAGTCCCTCCGCTCGTTGGAGATGCATTTGGTGGGCGTCTTCAATGGGCGGAAATGCAAATCTCGGCTTGGGAGAATTTGACCTCGACCAGGGGCGGCAACACGACTGTGGTAAAATGTATGACGTTGTTGAGCCACTGACGCGTGGCTTCCTTTTCGGAATGACGTCATCGCCTGTATGCGTCACTATTATATATGCCCCCGAGGCGGTTCAGAGGATGATGTGACATTTTGGTTTCCCGCGCACGTTTTGAATCATGACTCTTCGATTTCTGCGCAACTTATCCCTATAAATAGGAGAGAGGTTTGATTCGATTCAACTTTCAAACTTTTGGAAAGCATTTTCTGATTTACTCCTTCGTCTTCCTTTCCTGTAACCGTTATTTCGTGTGGGATTCCTCCACTTCCTTTGAAGTCATATTTCTTGTCGCTAGTGCATTATTTCCCAAACAGAGTCATCATGGTAAAACGTAGTCAGGGTGGTAAAAAGACCCAGGACACTGACCCATCTAGGGTTCCGCCTTCCTCTGGCGGTGAGGAGGAGAAAGTGAAAAAGACCCTCGTTCCCCTTACTGTAGACAACGTCCTCCCAAAGGAAATGCATATTCGAAAGGATTTTCAAACGAAAAGTCCAGCCCTTCCCTGGGAGCATAGTGATTTATTGCAATCTCATCTAGACGACCTTCGAGTGACACACAACATTCCGGATCATGTGGAAATGGCTCCGGCTGGGATGGATTACGCCAATGTGCACAGGCCTGGGTACTGCACATTTTATGAGTACCCGTTTTTGATCGGCTATAGTCTCCCAATTTACCCTCTAGCGGAGGAGCTTTGCCGTTTTTTCAATGTGTGTCCGGCTTAGCTTACTCCTTACACCTTGAAGGTGTGCAGGATTCTGACCACGTACGCAGCTAAGGCTGAGTGCGGCGTCTCAGTTCATCATCTTTTACAGTTATTCAGCCCTGGTTACCTGAGGGGTACCATGTTGCAATTGAAAAGCCGTGGCACGAAGGGTTTGGTAGTTAAGGCTGACGACAAGGCCAACCGCCACTTCTGGCGTAGGTACTTCTACATCAGAACGGAGCACCTGGTGTCTAACCCTGAAGGATTCCCGGAAAGATGGAACCCAAAACGTGAGTACCTTTATTTGCATAATTCATGACTGTTCGTGACCTTGACCATTCGGCCACTGTGATTTCTTTTTTTTTTTTTGTAGCGAGGGCTTCTCCACCCCAGTTTATTGACAGTATTAAATCGTGGGTGGAAAGATTGATACCTTATGCGGAGGAATGCCGTACCTGGGCAGCATTTCTTCAACAGTACGGCCCGTCAGGTAATTCTTCGGCCTTGGTTTGGAAGCTCCCTTAGGTTTTGTTACCTGACTTACTCGTGTTGGCAGGTCGGAGCGCCCCCAAGAAGAAGAAGGCCGTTGTTACTTCGCCTAGGGCGGAGACCGACTCTGATGGCGGAGACATACCCTGCGGCTCGTTCAGTGATGGCGCTCCAGAGGTTCCTCAGCAGGAGGTTGCGCCTATGGCGGCGTCCGCAAGTGAAGCGACTCCTTCAGTGCCGTCCCCGCGGCCTATGGAGGAGACTTCTGAAGGTGAGGAACCGCCAGAGAGAAAGAGACGGCGGTTGATAACGGGCAAGGGGATAGCGACTGAAGACGAGAGGGTAAGTGAACCCCGTCAAGTGTCGAGGCCGGTTTTTATGGCCGATGCTATCCGTTCTGGGAGGTCGGTTCCCCAAAGGAGAGCTGTTGCCGACGCCAGCCCAGCCCGTGTTCCGGAGAGCGGTTCGTCGGCTGCTGTTGGAGAAGTGGGCGATGGTGCCGAGAGGGCGGACACTGAGGCCGCCCGTGGAGATGCAGATGGGTTAACGA